ATGGCGAGCTTGCTATAATGGTGGTCACATTACAACTAGGACTAGATGCATCACACTAGTTACTAGTGTCAAATCAAAATATCTACTACAGTCCTACAGGTGGTCAATCGCGGGCCCCAATCACTCAGTGGTAACGTCTCTGACTGCAGCACTGGGTGACGCGGGCTCGAATCTCAGAAGGGACATGAGTCCCTTCAAGGTTGCAGATACGCCTTGCTGACGAGTGCCGACTAGCACGAAACCTAGGTCCAAGGCTTCCTGCCGATTGCCTCCAACCATCTAGTATGATAACGTGTTATTGTTGTTGCATTTAGTTCCGAGTGGAACATAAGGCTTCAGTAGAACGTTTCCACTTTATTTTATTTTTTGCAATCCTGTCTCTAAGCCCAACGATTGACCATAATCTTTCATCTCCTACTTACATGATCTAATCCATATATACATTTCACTTGCGCTGCGGTCTGGCTTCCGATGTCACCCAACAGTCTCATCAGCGTATGTCTGATATATCTCCATTTTCTTGGGAATATTTACTGAGTGGTAGTTACGTGTCTGGTAATTTTCCAGAGTTCTTTTTTCCTTATTCTTTTTGGCCACCTTATCTTCATTATAGATCAAAGATGGTCGCTGATGTAAGTTTACAGTTGTCTGTTGGAAATGCATTTCATGAAGTGTCAAGTTTTCGACCCATTCAGAAGACCCTACTAGCTTAACAGTGGTGTTGGAAATGGGAATCTTTTTCTTTGTGTTGAATCCAGAAGATTTTCAGACTGATTTCAGAGTGACGAAGTATGATAATGTAATAAAGAAAAATGACTCGGTAGGAACACAATGAATCAAGGTGGTGTATGTCCATTCAGCTGATAGGTTCCAAAATGGACGAGTCACGCATCCTAGATCCAATTGCTGCTGGTCACTATAGGCTGACTAATAAGCCAATAATATTGGTAAACGAATTGCTTGATATCACAAGTGAAGTAAAGGTTAGTGACTTACTGAAATTGAAAATAATCATGCTCTCTAAACTAATGATTGTAATTGTTAAAGTGATTGTAAAATTAATTTATTTGACTGAAACTTGAACAGTTTGTCAGATTACTGAACTTAGAATCCATATTCATTCACTGCATTTAGCTGAGGTGGTAGGCAGTCGAACTACTAAGCCTACGCTGTGCTTTCAAAAGAAGCCAATTAAAACCTAAACAGCTACCCCCTTTCTTATCATCTGTTATACCTGTTACATCTTCATAAAACATCGTTTACTTACTTCCTTTACAATCTAGCATTACTTGATTAAACTATTTGCTTTTCTTAGCCTATGCTGACAACGTCTACCTGGACATTCATTTGTGTAATCACGCTGTTTTCTAATATTCTGGGTTTTTTGATGTGGTTGTGTTCTGTGAGCTGGATGGTTAGTTTGTGAAGCTTTCATCACCTTACTGGGTGATGAAAGCTTCGCAAACTAACCATCCAGCTCACAGAACACAACCACATCAAAAACATCCACCTGAGCTACAAATCTTCTCTATCATATCTAAATATTCTGGGTATCACAAATTGCCCCTTGTTTTGCATCTTTGTAGCTGTTAAAATCACTGTTGTTATTAATATTGTGACTAAATGCACATTTTATATGAACAATTATATCATCCTACAGACAAATCACCTTGATTGATTCATGATATATTGTAGTTATTTGTGAATTTGTGTAAAGCCTGATGAGATCTGATTGAAAACATAGTTATGTTCGCTTGCATATGTTGTTTCAGTATTCAAAGAATCTAAGTATCTATAAAACACGAAATAATTGAGCAAAGAATATTTTTTTCGATAATTTCCTCTTCTAGCTTTGCAATACAATTTGTGTTTATAAATATAGAATATTCTAGAATAGTAGTCAACAACAATATCAAGGCGTATAATCTACCGACAGTTCCTAATTCACTTCTTTGGAGACAACGTCAGTGAGATACTAACAAAACGCCTTAGAAATGGGGTAAAAACAGCATTTTCAGCTGCTGAATTACACTGTGTCTTCAAAACCACTCCTCTTTGGCGTTCGGAAGTAAAATAGAAGCTGCCTAATTTCGCCTTTTCCATGGGTATCTACCAGTTTAACTGCCCCTTAGGAACCAGTTACATAGGCCATATAATCAGGCGTGTTTCTCGTCGGATTTCCGAACATCAATCTGCTTGGTTATATAAAGGACAATTAAAATCTATTCTTAGCACTATTCTATCTCATTTGTGGATTCAGAACACAAGATTGATGTTAACGAGGCAGCTTCCAAAGTCATTTACCGCATACCAACAAATCTTAACTTCGCCTTGAGAGTTCGATTACTAAATACTGCTTAGGTGGTTGGGATCCACATTAAGAAGCCTAATTTATGCGTCCAAAAGAAGCTAGTTCACACATTATCGTTACCTTGGCCATCTACGTTTGAATGATCCTCAATTTTTGTGGATTTTTTTCTAATTTTCGTTGATATTCCATTTGCTATTATATCTTCATTATTATTATTTAGGCATCTTTAATGAACTGTAATTCCATTGATCTTACTTTACAAATCGATATTACATAAAAAGCACTAATATTGTTATTAACTACTAATCTAGAATATTCCATGTAAATAAACATACATATATATGCGCAGAGCCAGAAGAGGAAATTATCGAAACGATTATTCCTTGCTCGACTGTTCTGTGTTTTATAGTTGTCTGAAAGAATATTTTGGCTATATTGGAATCCTAATATAACTAGAATCCTTGCTTAGAATAAATATATATAATGTCTGTATTCCAAGCAGTTTTATATCCATTATGGATTACTCATTACCGTTAAAGTGCGGTGATTTACACCCTTCCCCTAAACTGAAATGTGTTCACGCATGGATGTACAAGTTTCAGATTTTTAGTGATAAAGACGAAAAACCATCTTTTTCCACAAAAAATATACAGTAAAAGCTTACATATAACGTTTCAAAAGGTTTTAGTTAGCTTTACCAGTCAAATGAACAAAGCGATCACATGGATACCGTTCTCTATAAATCCTTGAATACACATTTTAGAATGACTTAGCTTTGGAGAGTTATCTTCATTTAAATATACAGAAAAATGAGACCTCTAAGGCAAACCTGTCAATCATAATAAAAGACTAACACAACTGCTGAGTCACTAACTCATACTGCAGTCAACTATAGTCGTTCAACCAGTACAAGCTTTCCAAGTTTCAGATCCTGAATAGTTCATATTTAGAAGTGTTTTGATTCATAAGAGATGATAATAATAATAATAACTTTATTTCAAACAATAATTGTTATACCCAGGAAGGCGTATATATGCAATCTTGAAGAAACTCCTGGCTGCATCAAACAAAGGATTCGACGCATCATACTAGTTACTAAATAGTGTTTAATCCAGCTATCCAATACAGTCTTAGAGGAAGTCGATCTCACGAGACCGAATAGCTCAATGGTTAACATCTCTGACTGCAGCACTCGGTGACATGGTTTTGAGTCTCAGTGGGTATATGAGTCCCTTTAACACAGCAGATATGCCTTCCCAGTTGGTGGGTGCCAACAACCACAAAATCTAGTTCAGAAGACGGCTTCCTTCCCATTGCCTATAGCCATCTAATAACAATAATTTATCAAATTTAATCACTCAAACATGTGTATTTTTGACCTGGTTTCTGACAGTAAATCTGAAATGTAGTCATCTGATTCCAGTCTTAAGCAAGCGATCTCTATTCATCTTTAAATCTGATGTCATATACTAACAGCCAGCCAAGAACTTACTACTGATGGAAAAGGAATAATCGTTGAAGAACCAATTACCACTATAAGTAATTTTACATATAGCATGGAATTTTCACCATTCTGTACAGAGTAGGTTTATAAGCTCTTTTTAGGACAGTTTCATCTTCACACAACACCTACTGTAAACATGATACTGTTGAATTTTTATATTCACTAGCCGTACGAGTATAAATTATCATGAAATTCCTTCTGGTTTAAACCCCTGAGGAAATACTAGAAGAAAGCGACGAAAAACAGAATGTTTAGCATCAAACAAAATGACATTAACCAATCGTTTGAAAGGATTAAAATGCTTATCACACCAACAGTGTCAGTTAGTTTAGCCAAAACCATAGCGGTAACCCTGCTTACAGCCTTCAATTTTCTATGCAATATGACATAGTCTTTTTCGATAAGCTCAGGAAATCATAAGGTGGAACAGTAGACAAGACTGGGTTGAATAAATGAATTAATAAACTGTGAGAAAAGAGGTTGAGTTATTTAAGCAGTAGGTTAAGCCGAAGGTGTTCTTGATATCAACGAGATAGGAGACGATCGACAAAGATTAACAGGGAGAATAATACTAGATAGACAAGCTATTTAGGAAGAAAATCATCCTCTGGATTTCATACAGACTATGGCAATTAGAGTACGATCACAGGATGTTACAGGATTTATACAAAGGAAAAGGTTTCAAATGATTACTGTAATCCTAATGAGGTAAACCGTTTGTACCGCTTAGTAAAATAAATCATAAAAGACAGTGACAAGTGTCGCTTAACTGACGCCTATACACTTAAATAATGAACATTTTTTGTCTACGTGAATGCAGTGGACACATATGGACAAGGTCGTTAACTGATATCGTGCGTCATTGGAACACAAATTGAAAGTGGCAAGTTGGGCGTTGGTCATTTAATAACGTAGAGGAAATCATATGAGAAAGAGATGACAATTTATAGGAAATTGCGGAGCCGGAAAAACTGGACTAAGGAGAACATGATGAAAAAGAGATGTGCTTTGGAAGTCTTGTATTCCATTCGGAACCCGAAAGGATTGCATAAACAGATGGCACCTTTATATGGATTACAACAAATGGCAATACAAACTAAGTACTTCATTTCAATAATTGTTTTCAAAAACATTCTTTCATAAACTTTCATATACACTAATATAAACTTTACCGAATCTACTCACCTAACCCATGAAAGGCAATATTGCCCATTTGTAGTAACGCGTTCAGTTGTTCTAATTCCGTATGAAATGACATAGCCATATTGTCGAATTCATTAAATTCTTGTGTCTTTGTCGCTGAAACTGTGTACGTTGATGCGAAAAATGGAAATGGCACGGTTGTTCCGACTTTAGGCACAACTGATGTATACATTAGGCTGGTATTATTTACCTCTGTCACCTTATTAGAATCACTTTGATGATTAAGCGTGTGTTTTGAAGAATTCAGCAGTAACTTTTCATAATCTTGACCATTAGGATTATTTCCGGTTTGGTTATCTGTCATATTATCAGTTAAATTCCGCTTAAACATGTACTGATCAATCATATTCTGAAATAAATAAGCCAATTTCTCAGTCCATAACAGAAATGGCCGACTTTTATCTTCGATCACGTAGGACTGCAACTGATCACTAACATATGACCATAAGGTGAACAAACGTTTCTGTTTAAATCTATACAAACTATTCTCATTATTCGAGAGATGAAATTCATCACCAATATAGAATATTTTAATAATTTCATCAATTTGTTCTGGTGAACATTTGTCTAACAGGTTGACTAAACTTTTTGGTCGATTATATCGGCCTAAGCGTTCAGCGAATATAGATGCAATCTGTAGACAGCTAACATTTAAACAAAATTTTTGTGTTTTACACTTTTGTTGTTCAGTTTTACTATTACTTATACTACTACTACTATCAGTAGTATAAGTAGTCGGTAAGTGAATAGACGATAGCACAGGTGGATGATGTGTTTTCTTCATTGGTGACAATTTGTTCACCGGTGGCATCAAAACTTCTGACGATGAATACGAAGAGGAGGTTCCATATATTGTCGTTAGTGATTCATCATACTGGTTATATAATACAACCATAGTAATAATTACAATAATTAATAATAATATAGATATAATTAAAATTACTAATAAGATTTGTTTACGTCTGCGACTTGAATGAATGTAATCCATGAAATTTGAGCAAATATTCAAGTGTGTATTCTGTTTACAACAAGAAAATCTATCAATGCGTAAAATGCTAGCTAGCCAAGACTTTGTTTTATCCATCCATGATTGTTTTGTTTGAATGTATTCAGGTGCAATTGGCGGGGATTTTAAATTCAGTGTTTTACAATTCATGGATTCATTAAATACTACAGCTCTACTAGAAGTTGTTGGTATTTCACAATTTTGGATAGATTTTGTAACCGGATTATTTGGCTTAGATTTTTTGGATGATAATTTACGAAGAAATAATGATTTTGAATCGGTGTGATTTTGTGCTTCACTGGATAAAAGACATTGTACACTTTCATAATTTTGATTGCTACTATTACTATTATAGACATTAGTAATATGTGTACTAGTGTTATTGTTATTCATGTTCATGGTGTTGCTGATTGTAGTATTCGACATATAAAACATTTTAGAATTGGGTAGGTGTTTACAATTCAGAAGTCCACTTTCAATTTGTTTACTAGCCATTAATAAAGGTGGTCCAGAGTAGGCAGATGTGAAATCATTTCTACTACTACTGATATTCCCATCAGTAGTGCTATTTATTTGTTTTAAACTAAACTGTTTAGTTATCTGTTTGATTTTCATTGTTATACCTTCTCCGCTTTCTGCTCCTCCTCTAAGTGTTTTTGGTTTTGTTTTGTTTTGTTTATGTATTTTGCATTTTAATTGAAGTTAAAAATGTGCAAATATTGTATTCGAATACAGGGCAGTGTGATAAGGGTAAAATCCAACTTCTAATTTCTCAAATATCCGTTGTTTAATCGGAGTCAACAAATTTTATTTCTGTTCTCATGATTGAAAGCCGGGAAAACGAGTGAACCAATCAGAAAACAGTACATGTACTTAAGCATTTCATTGGTTAAGTATTTAAGAAGTATATTTATTATTTATTTATTGATAATACTAACAATGATAATTTGATTTCAGTTATGAGATTTCGTTAGGAATGAATATCAGTTAGGGAGCGACAGAGAGAGAACTATTCAACTACTTCTAATCAGTAGGCAGCCGCGACCTCACCAGGGATTTAACGCTGGATATGCGGGTGATCAGATAAAGCTCGTCGACTAAATCGAAAATGAAACAGGGTTTGGTTAAAGGATTTCATCATGAGCTGACATAGGTTAGAGTATCATTGGAAAACCAACCAGAGATTACTGGACAACCATTTCGTCGAATTTTGGGATTCTGCAAAAGTTTTCACTCACCACTAGGGGTCGAACCTAGGACCTTTTGATCACAAGGTGAGCTCGTATACCGTCAAGTCACTGGGACCTGATCCAATAGCCCATTAATTCCAGCTTCTGCACTTAGTTCCGGTCTCATTGGCTTAATGGTCTGCGAGGTGAACTCAAAACCTGGAGGTCCTGGGTTCTAACCCTTACGGCGTGTTCGTACTAATGAAGAGTCCTATAATAGAATGAAACAGCTTTCCAGTACTCCCTGGTTGATTTTCCAATGCTTCTCTAATCGATGTCAGGCCATGATGAAATCCTCTGACCAATCAGTCAAATCATTACAAACCAATACTTGAAGCACGGTTCACCAAAAACATACAGTACAGAATCTACAATGAAATTAATCCAGATCTAACAAAAGCTTTTGATCCAAATATTAGTCGCCAGGTCATTGATAATTACTGGATGAACGTCCTGAAACTGTACAGAAAAGTTAATACCAGTAGGGATCATCATACCAAGCAGAGGTAGATGCACATAAACGACATTAATTAAAGGTGGTGTGATATATCATAAACTGACGAAATTCACCAGTCAATGAATTTTAAACCAAATGTCTGCATGTTCAATGAGCTTGGTCTCATGAGCTGAAGGTTCCCAGTTCGAGTCCTGATGCGGTCATGGGTTCGCACTGCTGGTGAATGCCAAAATGGACCAAATAGCCATCTAATGTTCTCTGGTGATTTTCAATGAACTTTTCAACTGATGTTGGTTCGTGACATCACTTAAATAATGAAGTTTAATTAATCCAAATTCCATCAGTTTCATAATTAGAATAGTAATCGAACTATGGAAACAAATCCGATAAGGTTCTCAGCACTAAATTGCACCCAATACATAATCAATACATATCACTCTGTATTATATCAAACAACAGTGCCAATCTATGACCGCACTAGTGGTCGATTATCGTACCTTCAGGTTACAAGTCTCCGTGAACACAATGACCATTTAGCCACTTGGGCCAGAATTCAGTAACGTGAGAATTCTAACTTAGTCAATTTTTAATGCACAGCTATCATCAAATAACGCCCCTGATAGGCATCTACTCCAACTAGACATCCTATAATCTAAGTAATACTTATAATGCCGTGAAGTATTGAACTGAGATTGACGTTTTGCTTAATCTCTAATAAATCTTCCACGTTTCTATATTATAGTTTGTTCTGTTTGTTCTCAGCCTTAGTGTCAACCTAATTTTAGGCCAATTTTTATAAGCTATCTTATTAAACAACATATTTACCTGATTTCGCTTCTGTTAATCTCATGGGAGATAAGTATAATTGCGTGTAAACAAAATTTTTTTTTGATACGCCAAAGTGCGAATATTTCAACCTCATAATACAAAATTTATAAGACACTAGGGATGAAATTTTAATATAAAGCGTTAATTTTTCAAGATTTGGTCGATAACAGGTTTGACCACGAGCTGATCTCATTCCTGAGTTTAAACCAGATCCCAGATTAGGCGAAAACAGCTGTCCAGGACCCCATAACTCTTCACAGGTTCTCAAACTGACGTCAGTCTACAGTCAAACCCTTAACCAGTTATTTCCCTACAAACCAACACTAAGTGATTTATGTGAAGCTCACTGTACAGGAACTTACCTGTCGTTGCAGTAAGAAGTCATAACTAGTGGGGTTCGTCAAGTCAAGTAATTGGAATGTTGATCGACGATGATACTGGCTGCAGGATATGCCATATGTACGTATAACACGAATAAGTAGAGGATGGGATTGATAGGCCATTGTATTGGGTTCCAGGGGCTGAATGGTCTTCAAGGTCGCCTAATAAGCTGAGGATACTGCGTTCATACCGCCTAAGAGGCTCAAACTGGCACTAAACGAATGTCCAGTGCGTTCTGACTTTCAGTGGTTTCCTGACCGGTGTGGTTTGTAATCAAACCTGAAATTTCGGCGCCTTAATGATTTATTTTCTTCTTTATTGCTCATCTCCAACAGTTGTACATTGTATACAATTGGTGGATGGTGGCTAGCGGTGAATTCCAGGATGCGCATTTCGTCCTATTTGGGACTCGTCATCTGGATGTACCTGCATTTCTCAGTGAGTGATGATGTTCCCACCGAGGCTCGAACCCAGTACCCATTGTTTCAAACGCCAAAGCGTTACCCACTAGACCACTTGGGCCACAAGAGCCACCTCTTGCGCATCCTGGATTCCACTACTAGCCACCATCCACAAATTGTATACTAATTAAATGCCCAGACATCGTCGAAGCATCTGCACAAGAAGCCAACATGTCAAACTGAGACTGAGCACTTCGGTCCAATCAATCGATGGGAAAATCAAAAATTCAATTCAGTTGTACATTGTGTTACAAAGTCACCTAATTACACTGCGATGAAACTGTCTAAAATCTAATTCCATTGAAACATTTTGAATTTCGACAGGATAGCAGGAAGACGTAATTTATCTGGATGTCTGGTATTCTGTAGCTCAAGCCTGCAGACGACCAGGGCAAATTCGTATGTACTTGTGAACACATTTGTCAAATTTCCGGGTCTAACTACACTGGACTTAACGCTGCCCTTAGAAGACTTTCAGCAACAATGTGTAATAACCAACGCTAAAAACCAGAATACGGATTGGCGACTAAAGAATCCTTTATTCTTGCTCCAATATGTAACCAACAATAAGGTTATTGTACACAAGGTCTCAGAATACATGTCATAACACTTTATCACGATAATGGCTGCGTCTTCTGACGAACAGCGAAAGATGGAATGATGACTGCAGTATTGATGACTCCCGCCAGAAAACGGAGTTGGGTTTGAGCAAACAACCATGAATTGATCGTTCATTCTTCAACTACATAGACAACACGTATATATATATATATATATATATATATATATATATATATTTAAATACTGGGCAATAAGTCACTATGATTCAAATTCTGAAAGCCAACGTAGATTTCTTTTTCTCCACGAAAATGAGCTTAGCTGTATAGTGACTTTTGTGGAGCGCTGCTCTACGTTTTTGCTTTAATGATTGGACACTGACGGTCATTTCTGAGAGATGGCCACACCACCGACCAGTTTGTTCCACTCTTTATTGTTGTGGATGAACAGTTGCAAATGACAGGGAATAGATCGGGTCTTCTTGTTGTCTTAATCAGCACTACCGGTCATTTCGACAGTTTCAGCCACCAGACATTTGAAGACAGCTGCCAAATAGACTGTAGTGTAGCATTTAGCAAGCGTAGTTTGCAATCTTTCAGATCTCAGTGGCATCTCTGAAGTTCGAGGGATTTGTTGAAGCATTTTGTTTGATTGTTCTAAATCGTTTAATGAATTTCATGGCATAATTTATTTCTAACACTACTTAACTGAGATCCTGCGCTTGTTGGCGCTCATTCGTCACCAGGATGTGTCTACAGTCTTAAGGGAGCTCGTGTACCCTCTGAGATTCTAACCAGTATCACCTAGTATTGCAGCCAGAAGCTTTACTGCTGAGGTATTTTGGCTCACTGTTGACTTTTGTAGATACAGCTTGCTCAGCATAATCACGAAGCACGAAGCCTAGGCGAAGCAGGGCTTCCAGTCGGTTGCTTTCAGCCATCTAACAACCGTTCACAGTGCAATGTGATAGTTAACCATCTAGAATGGTGGCCACATTGCAAAACTGACTGGCAGAATTCAATCTTCATCAGCACTAAGTACCAGATGCATAACATTAGTCACTAACGAGTATGTAATCAAAATAATTATATGTAATGTATGATTATACAGATTAAAAGGAAAATAAAATCGACCAAAAAAGCTTCTTTGATGAACTAAAAATATTTCGCTTTCACATACCTAATTCGTTTCAACAACAAATGAAACTAACTGACTCACCAGTCCGTGAAAATAGGTCATGTATCTATAGAAACGGATAACAAAGTGAATTTTAAAAGTGCGTATAAACTCACGTATATAAAATTCTTTGAAGGCCTTTCCAGATAAGGCGTAAATTCAATTTCGTGTGTTTAAAAACTATTTCTTATTACTTTCAACCTGTTTTGATGAACACGTTCTAAAACCACAGTTTATTTCGTACAATAATGGTTTCCCCCTTCATTTTCTTACCTCTCATCTGAGATTTCGAGTCTTAAATAAGCATTTTGAACTATGCCAATACCACCTTGATCTTCCGTAGTCTGTTAGCTTCATTATTGTGATTAGTTGTTAGGTAGAAACCGATATTATGCACCTGTTACTCGATAGTGGCGGAGACTGAACTCCTAACGTCCACTTTGCAATGTGGCCACTATGCTAGGTGACCCACCGTCACGGTACACTCTGAATTTCTGTTAGATGATTGAAAAAGGTAGTCAAAGATCTAGGTTTCCTGTTTTTTTAACATTGACCAGTCAACAAGTCATGTATACAATCTTGAAGAAACTCATATTCCCTGTGAGATTCGAACCTGTGTCACACAGTGCTGAAGTCAGAGACGCTGTCATTCAGGTATTCAGGCTAGCCATTGATCTCCTGTAGGAATGTTGTAGATACCTTGATCG